GTTCTGCTGGTTGATTGTGTGGTATCGATGACTCTACTAGTGTCTTTAGGACCTTTGATTCATGTGGTATCGATGACTCACCTTATGTTTCACACTCATGTATCATGGATGGGTTCTCAAATTGTGCTTAATAAGAGTCAGTTGGTCCTCCATGTCGAAATTTGAAGCATGGGGTAAGCCCAACGTGTGTGGCACCGCTCATTGCACAAAATCGAGTTTTGGAAGAGACATTAGTGATCCTTATTGGGATACGCCTACAAGGTGATGCTAGACTGTCTGTTACACCCTGCTCTTTCTAGAAGTCAAAATGACTATTATGCCCTCCATGTAATTTGTCAGGTTCTACTGTAATGTCGATGAGGATTAAAAATGTGGACTCTCGGTTCATACAGTGCCAAATTTTGGTATAAAACAAAGAAGTTATGGACGTAGATTGGATTAGTAAGACCCAATCAAGGAGCTAGGTTGGATGGGCCTTGCGATTTGGACTGGATTTTGGGTGGTAACGGCTGAGATTAATGGGTGTTTAATTGGGATTAATTGTTTAGGTTTGGTGGGTTCGATTCACTTTAGTTCCTTTGCGTTACAAGGGGGGAAACCTAGATTAAAATGGGAAGGGAGTGGAGCTTGGAAACAAGCAGAGCACCGAGCACGAGCAAAGGAAGGGGATTTCCTGGTAGAGTTTGGAACAAACTGCGAACTGGGCAAGTTGTTCCAGTTGGAGCCGGCACAAGCAGGCAGGAGAGGAAGTGTAACGGTGACCAGAGAACGCAAGCAGGAGCTCTCAACTATGGAACCGTGGGAGCTGACGTCCACAGCCGAGAGGGAGACGATGCAAGGAAGGCGAAACTCTACTCTTCGAGACGGCCAAGAATCTTTGCCACCCGCCAATGGCCTCCGAATTGTGGCTGGAGCAGGGGCATCGGGAATAGCGGCGATGGTAGGCTTCTTGCGGTGGCAACTATTTACGAATTGCTGTCCAAGGAAGTGAAAGAGGAACCCGGGGACAAGATTGGGACCGTGGTCGCCGGGGAGGTAAGGTTCTTTTGGTTCGTCACCTGCCAATTTCAGTTGAGGGTGGTTTTGGGACGGATAGAGGCGTGTGTTTGCATATAGCCGCAAGAATTTTAATGGGTTGTGTATGGAGTGATCGTGACGCATGTGTGGGTCATGATTATGATTAAAAGTGGATGATTAGTTGTAAGAAGAACAAGCATAAAAGGGTAGGTCATAGCAACAACAGAAGGTTAAGTTGTTGTACTGGTGGAACTATGCGATGGCATTACGTGTTGCAAGCAAAATAAGGACATGGGATGATTGTTCATTCCATTGGACATAGTAATAGATCAATAGGTAAATAGTTTCGGTGAACAATTGGACGTTTGGACTAGGGGGATAAATTGGGTAAATTTGAGGGAGTTGGCATGGAAAAGGAGGTGCATGCGAGGAAGGGACTATGGGTTTGGCTTGGTTTAAAGGATCACATATTTGGACCATGTTGAAATTTAACTTGGACGTTGGAATTATGGCAGTTCAAAGTTGGTTCACTGGGCATCTTCGACGAGAAGGCACCTCTAAATAGAGGCAAAGCTAGGTTGGACGTGTCAAGTAATGGGGAGAACCTCGGGTCTAACTATCGAGCAGTTAGTTGAGCGTTTGATTCAAGTCAACCGGCTTGGATAATGAGATGAGTGTAAAGGGGGTAAATTCTACGCCTTACGATATTTAAGTTTTTTAGATTGACTGCTATGTGCTATACTTGACTTTGTGTGTTTATTTGATGCATGTGATTGCGTGTGATTTGTGCTTCCGGTTATACATATTATAATGCATGCTTTATTTATAAGTAAGTTAAAGTTTAAGAACACGTTTTCTTTTAAGAAGTACTCCACCTTCAAAGAAGGTGAAATCGTTTTAGTGTTCTGTCAACTTATCAGAATCACAAAACTTTACAAAACACATGGATATTTGACACTGGTGCATCAGATCACATTGCTTGTTCCATTTTCCTTTTTGATAGTTGTTCTCCTGTGTTTGAAGTTTTTGTTTATCTTCCTAATCGAGCAAGGGTCCAAGTTTCACACATAGGTTCAGTTAGATTGTCTACACATCTATTCTTACATAATGTTCTTCTAGTTCCCAGCTTCACCTTCAACCTTGTCTCTGTTAGTAAGCTCACACATGACCTCCCAATCTCACTCATATTTCAATCTGACCTTTGTCATGTTCAGGACCTAGTAACCAGCAAGAGGATTGGTTTGGCAAAAGAAAATAGAGGCCTATATCATTTCCTACCAGACCGGCCTATCATACCAAACACTATCTCTCAAGTTGCTTCCATTTACAATTTTGAATCCCACAAGATTGAGCTGTGGCATTGGAGATTAGGCCACCCCAGTAATAGTAGTACTTTACTTATTAACAAATGTAATCCAACAGTTCCTGTTGAGAGAGTGAAAAACTGTGAGCATTGCCATTTATCCAGGCAAAAGAGATTACCATTTCCTTTGAGTGATTCTAAGGCTTTAGACATTTTTGTATTGGTGCATGTTGACATTTGGGGTCCATTGTCAGTTAATTCCCATGATGGTTATTTTTACTTCCTAACCATTGTTGATGATCATTCTCGTGTTGTTTGGGTATACTTAATGAAACAAAAGTCTGAAGCAAGAGGGCTGTTGATTGGATTTTGTAAAATGGTTCATAACCAGTTTGGAAAGACAGTTAAAACAGTGAGGAGTGATCAGGGAAAAGAGTTTTACATGTGTGATTTTTACCTTAATCAGGGCATAGAACATCAAACCTCCTGTACTTATACACCTGAACAAAATGGGAGGGCAGAATGCAAACATCAACACATTTTAAATGTGGCACGTGCTCTGAGATTTCATTCAGGTGTACCTCTTAATTTCAGGAGTGATTGTGTGATTCATGCTGTTTACATAATCAACAGACTTCCAACTCCAGTTTTACAAAACAAGTCTCCCTATGAAATACTATACCAAAAACCTCCTTTCCTTGGTCATTTAAGAGTTTTTGGGTGTTTAGCATATGCTGCTAGCACTGTTCCAGGCATAACCAAATTAGATCCAAGAGCTAGACAATACATCTTTCTTGGACTTCCAGCAGGCATTAAAGGTTACAAGTTATTTGATCTGAATTCACATGATTTTCTAGTTTCTAGGGATGTGATATTCTATGAAGACATATTTCCATTTAAAACATTGAACTCAACTCCAGAAGTTGATAATGAACAGGTTGAAACCAATTCATCACCTGTCTTTCCATCAGTCTCAGAGAGTAGTCCTCCTCCTGTCAGTAGTCCTTCTTTACAGGGTAATGTCAATAGTCCTTCCACACAGGGTCATGTCATTAGTCCTTCCTGCCAACCTTCTTCTTCTTCTTCTCATCATACAAGCAATGAATTTGATGCATCATTTGATAATACTCCTGTGTGTGAGACTGATGTAAGTATAGAGAATGAAGGAGAAGAAGCAGAACTCCAGCAACTGGAGGAACATGAGGCAGAACCAGTTAGGACAAGGCCTTAGAGAAATGTTAATCTACCAGCTAGATTAAAGGACTACTACTTGGGAATTGTCACCAAGTATCCAATCACAGATGTGGTTGACTATAAGTTGTTGACTGAAGATATGAGAAGATATGCTGTTAATATGGTGACAATGGTTGAACCAGCTTCTTTTGAAGAAGCCAATGAAGAAGAGTGCTGGAGATTGGCAATGAAGGAAGAACTACTTGCACTTATTGAAAACCAAACCTGGGAGTTAGTTAAGCTACCTCCAGGGAAGAAGGCAATTGGGTGTAGATGGGTATACAAAATTAAACTCAAACCAGATGGAAGTGTTGAAAGATTCAAGGCTAGATTAGTGGCAAAGGGTTTTACTCAAGTTTATGGAATCGATTTTCTGGATACCTTCTCACCAGTTGCCAAGAATAATTCAGTCAAAACACTGCTTGCAGTTGCAGCAGCAAAGGACTGGTGTTTACATCAGTTAGATGTTTCCAATGCATTTTTGCATGGAGACTTGGAAGAAGATGTGTATATGCAGTTACCATTAGGTTTTCCAGTGGATGAAAGTTCTGAAGGAATGGTTTGTAAACTCAAAAAGTCATTATATGGCTTGAAACAAGCTAGTAGGGAATGGTTTGCTAAGGCAGGTCAGGGTTTGAATTTTAAATCAAACAATGATCTGGTTTTGAAGGCTTATAGTGATGCTGACTGGGCAGCATGTCCTGACACAAGGAGATCCATCTCTGGTTATTGTACTTTCCTAGGAGGATCTCTGATTACATGGAGAGCAAAGAAACAGACCACAGTGTCTAGATATTCGTCTGAAGCTGAGTACAGAGCATTAGCTCATCTTGTGTGTGAAATACAGTGGCTTAAAGGGCTACTTGCAGAACTGGATGTGAAGGTTCAAGCACCAATACTGGTTTATTGTGACAATATGTCAGCAATTCAGATTGCAGAGAATCCAGTTTATCATGAGAGAACAAAACACATCGAAATCGATGTTCATGTTACCAGAGAAAGGATCAAGTCTGGACTTATCAAATTGAAGTTTGTAAGAAGTGAGGATCAGCTTGCTGACTTATTTACTAAGGGCCTAAGTCGATACAGGTTGAGTTACTTGTTGGACAAGTTGGGCGTATTAAACATATACACGCCAACTTGTGGGGGCGTGATGAAGTTCAAGGGAGTTGTTGATTTGAATCAACGAGAAGAAGAGATACAGAAGTCCAGAGGAAAGCAGCAGCTGTTGGTTGCAGAGGTTGCAGAAGAAGAACGTTGGAGTTGAAGATTGATTTGAGAAGAAACGTTTCATGTTGGAAACGTGTTGGCTGAACGCAGCGTTTAGTCTTTGAAGTAGTTGTTAGTTATTTACAGAACAATAGAATTTTGACACCTGGTTTTGTTACCGTTAAGTTACAGTAAATTTGGAATGCTATAAATCAAAGAATCCCAACACGAGATAAGCTGAGGAATTCCCATCTTCTTCTTCCTCCTTTTACTTTTCTGCTCAATCAAACCCTTCCTTAGAAAGTTTCATAGGATGGGGGAAGTTCTTTTTGAGAATGACCAAATTAACAGTTCTCTACCGTGCTTAATTATCCCCTGATTGGCTATTCATATAGGGAACGACCGATAGAAATATGGGTTCACAAAACTACACACCTAATGCTTATGTCAAATTTTATATTTTTCCTCTACAAATACTCAGTCATAATTTGGAGCTCTCCTCAAACTCCATAGGAGAGGGGCAAATCAACTACTTTTATAACTCCTTATAATTTATCTCTAGGAACCCATCTTCAGACTTGAGCCAATCGCTTGTTTGCCAAATTTAGCTTATCGCCTCCACAGATCTGTTTGGCTCCCAAAACTTACGTCCATCATTTCTCACTAATAATATTCACGGTGGAAATTTTCCCTCTTACTTTTATCCCTCTTGACATTTCCTTTATTGCTATCTCAGTAAAATTCTTCTCGTTTCAATAACTATCTTAATCTCAAGTATCCCTCAATCTTCACGCACTCTCCTCTTTTAAATTCTTCCTTTTACCCAATTCCATCTTCACAACCAAGGAAAAGAGAGAAGATAACCCGAGGAAAATAGAGAAGGGTCGGAGTTTCCCTTTACAAAACTTGTTTAAAAATAAAAGAATTGTGTATAAACATGCCTTCCACGGTTAAGATAATTTCCACCTTATTCATAGTCACCCTCCTCGTCACCTCCTGCAGAGCTGCGTCCCGCCCTGGTCCGACAGAAGCTCCGACCGCCGCTAGTCCGACCAACGTGCCCACCGCCGATGTCAATTTTGAGGGACATACTTTCGACCCCATGATCGACCGACTTGATCCCGCTCTTTTTGCCGCCAGCAGCTCCCACAAGGCGGTGGATGGACATGATTCGGACGAGGAGGATCTATGTGTAGGGCTGGGAGAAAATGATTGCTTGACGAGAAGAAATCTAGCATCAGCTCATGTCGAATAACACATCTGCACCCAGAAACATAATAAGCCATGGAAGTTAGCAGTACTTCTCGATCTTGATATAATTAATCCCAAAAAAAAATTTCTTCCTCTTTGATTTGGGAGTTTCACGAACTACACCAAATATAGGCAACCCCTAGCTTTTTTCCCCCCTCGCCTCCCCTTTAGTCACATTTATATGTTGTATTCTTACATTTAATCAACGATCCCATTATGGTGCGGGATTGTTCAGAAGTTGTGTTAATTTGTTTCTCTTCTATTATTAGTTTTTCATCAAAGGTTTATATTTTCGTACAAAGTCTCGAGTTTATTGCATGTTATCGTTCGGTTGCGGATTTAGGATTTGACGTCCCAAAACATTTTAATAATAATAATAATATAACAAAATATCGTACTTTTTTATTCATATCAATACAAAATATTATTTGTATTAATCAAAGTCACTCAAAAAAGAACCTAAAAAAATTAAAGCTTATGAAGAGTTTCACTTTCTCTTGATAACGAGTTCGAGCTAGTAGTAAGAAATTCTAAAGTCAGAATCTTCAAATGTATGAATGAGGTCGAGTTCATATGATTGGGGAGATGAATGACTCTCACCGATCAATTAGTCAAAATATTAATTCGTCAACGAATATGCGTAGCTCAAAGGCATACAAGATAGAGTTTGAAGTTCATGTAAGTGTTATTGAGGAAGCTCGTCAAAAGGCATACAAGATAGAGTTTGAAGTTCATGTATATGTTATTGAGCAAGCTCGTATATGACGTCTAACTTAAAAGTTTAAATGAAAGTGTTACCAAGAGACGGTCTAGATTTTATTCGAAGCTTCTGGTTCTTTGATGTATCAGATATTCTGATTTACATTAATAAAGTTTTTTTAAAATATTTTGGATGATGGTAATATACTTTAAATTTGAGGTTATAAAAGAATGTGAGCAATAGAATGAGAATTATTTAAGGGTGGGGAAATGGTTTTAAGTTAGCGGGTAACCACCGGTTACAACCAAAATTGATCGATTATCTACTAACCAAAAACTGGCTTCATTGTATGGCGGCCGCTGTTTAGAGGGTTGGCGAGAGGGGTCGGTTAGCTGAGTAACCGACGGTGAAAACTGTCGTTTACCCGGCTAACCGACCTCTCCGTCAAAACCCCAAAACGACCCCGCACCACCACGCAGCGACCCACAACTATACCCTCCTGCCCCCTCCATCTCTCTCAATCGACCTCCCCTCCGCCGCCTGATCCAAAATCCCTACCGCTACCAAAAATCCAAACCCAAAACCTTCCCCAACTACGCGATGTTGTCGGCACCGTGTCCGACCTCTGCCTCTACTCCCCGACCTCGCCTTCGCCCCCAGGGCCCAACTTGCCTCGAACTCCCCGACCCCAACCTCCACTGCTCGACCTCTGCCTCGCTCGCCCGCTCCCACGACTTCACCTTCGCCCCCATCTCGCCTTGGCGTCGCCGACATCCCCTCCTCGACCTTCGTCCCGCTTGCGCTGCTCGCCTGGTCACCGGCCTCCGCTCCTCGACATCGCCGACCTTGCTCGTCTGGCTGTGCCTCCATGGTCGGTTGCTGTCTCTAGGTGACCAGGTCGGTCGCCTTCTCCAAGCCAGGTCGAGAGATCTGAAATGGAGGATGGAAGGAGAGAAAACTGTGGAGATAAGGATTATGCGGTGCAAGAAGAATTTTCATGTGTTTTTTTTTTATGATTTATAATTAATTTCACTTAAGCGCCGACGTTTTGGAGAGAATGGGGTTTTCGGTTATGCGGCTATCCGAGCCTAAAACCGAAAACCATCCGGTCGGTTTTCCCGATAATCGAAGGTGTACTTCGGTCGGTGATCGGTGGGCTTTTAGCCTTTTACATGTGTTTTGGCTAATCAATAACCGACATTTCAATTTTCGGTTAGACCGAAATCCACCGTAATCCAGCCCTAGAATTATTATTTCTGTTATTGGTTTACTTTGCAATTTTGAGGCTCCCATGTAGGTTTCCGCGCCTCTCATGTAGATGGCTGCCTCTGCTTCTTCCTCGTGTCAGATCTTCAGATCTATTCATTTGAGATGATTTTGATGGTGTCAGAGGAGGTTGAGGTCCCCTTAACCTGCCTTCTCCTTCATGTTTCTGCTCCTCCTCCTTGCTTCACCTCTTTGGCAGGTGTTTCGGAGAAGATCTGGGAATCCTATTGCGATCGTGCCGTGGTTCCAGTCTCGTGAAGCTCGAAGGCGAGGAACACTCTATTTGGGCTCCTTTTCACCTTGCTTCCGGATGCTCATGTTTTCGCTGTGAAGGTTGTGCCTCTTTCATCGGGTGGCTTAGGGTTTGAACGGCAGAGATAGCTCTTCGCCGGATGTCTTGCGCCTCTTCCCGTAGGCGGTGGAATGGCTCTCTCCTTTTGCGGCGGCTGCTCTTCATCTGCTGGGGTTGATTAGGTTTAGGGTTTTTCATTTCATGCTCATGTGTTGGGCCTCGTCTTGCACAGTTTGTTTTGTTTTGAAGGCCCGAGCCCAAATGTAGTTTTTCCTTCCTTGGGGTCTAGGCCCAAAATCTGTTCACCTTGGTTTCATTTAATGAAAGCCCACAATTTCAAAAAAAAAAAAAAATCAGTGATCCAAACCACTGAAACCAGCATCCCAAAAAGATGGATCTGACCAATCAAATTTAAATGAGGACGGATTTGACCCCTACTCACTTGTCACTTCCCTCTCCCAAAGCCTCGATTTTTGCTAACCTTCTCCCCCCAAAGCATCGAATTCCAACTCTAAGCAAAACTCTATTCCATTGTGACCATTACATTATTTACACTTCCCCAGCTTGCCAACACAAACAATTTTTGAATGCCCCGGAAAAAAACATCTTTTGATTTTTACCATGGTTGTCAAGCCGGTCGGTGTGCCACCGGTTGTACCGGATTCAACCGGTACCGGTCATAAAACCCGCGTGACACTATCGGTATGACCGGCATGATCAATATACTAATCTCTAAGTAAAATGATCTTATTTTAGAGAATTTAATTGATAAAAATTATTTTATTAGTATAAAAGTTAAATATTGATGTTATTTGTTGGATTCAAGTATAAATGTTTAGGTATTGACGTTAAATGTCATGTTTATATATGAGTATTTATAATTTTATATGTAATATTGACCGGCATGAACCGACACAAACCGGTATGTGCCACCGGTTGAACCATTCCACTTGCTAAACCGACACACTGGCATAAACCGAAAATGATCTTTATTTTATTTTCTCTATTACTTTATTTTGATATAACTTAAACATAATATTTAATTATATATGTAACTACAAGGGAATTGGATTGATGTACAATTAATTTTGCAATTACATTGATATGATCATATGGATGCTCTTGTAGCATGAACAAACTTACCCGATATCATAGACAGTGATATGTATGGACATGTTTGTAATGAAGTTCATTGGATTATAAAAAAATACAATTACTTTGAAAACTCGTATAAGCTCGCTCGCTATCGTTTCGCATGAGCGACAAGATGATATTTTGTAGAGTAATAGTTTAGATAATGTTGTTCCTAAAATGGAAGGATTTTATTTCATTCTTAATCTCTTTCCATGGGTTTGTCATGTACAACACCAGGTGGTCGGCTAAACGATAAACTTTCAGAAGGGAGAAGAGTCATCGAGCAAATGATTTATATTTTTAAACTTCTCTCATGACGATATTTTCTAGTTTGTACTCTTTTTTGCTTTATTTTTGTTAAGTTAATCTTGATTCTCTTTTTATGGATTTTCGGGGTCGATCGCAGGTTTGAGTAGGTTCAACTCGCGTTGATCAAACCGAATTAGGTTTAATACCCAAGGGCAATGGATTTGGGTTCAATTAGCATTCTCAATCAAAAGGAAAAAAAAATTAACAAACACTAAAGCAGATGAAACTTGCTCCCGAACCAAAACTCGACAACAACAGGTTCAACACGCTTTGACTGGGGTGAGCCATTTTTTTTAAAAAAATTCACACTTGACCCAACATGCCAATTAAAAAAAAGCGACTAAAACTCACTCCCAGTAAAAAACTTGTAAATATTGGGTTCAAGTCGTTTTGATCAGATGAATTAGATTGGATAGCTTGGGTTTGATTTCGATTGTCATTCTCAACCAAAGAGAAAAGATAAATAAAATTCACTCCCGGTCATGCTAATTAAAAAAACAAATAAAACTCACTCCCGGTCAAAAACGTGTAAATATTGGGTTCAAGTCGTTTTGATTAGAAGAATTAGATTTGATACATTGGGTTTGATTTCCATTGTCATTCTCAACCAAAGGGAAAAGATAAATAAAAATACTAAAGCAGATAAAATTCCCTCCCAACCAAAATCTCTCGATGTTTATGGGTTAATTATATGGTTGGTCACTGAGATTACAAAAAATGTTCATGTTTGGTCACTCGAAATATTTAAATCCATTGGTGGTACTTCACTTTGCTTAAACCGTTCACGTTTGGTCACTCTCCGTTAGTCGCCATCTATCTCTGTTAACTGCGTTCGTTAAGTGATGACATGGCGGATGGAATCATCTAGTCAACCCTATTTAAACAGAAAATAGGGTGACTCGACCCGACATGTCACTAAGACCCGCCATGTTATCTGGACCAACCTTACTCTCTAACCAGACCCGACCCTTAAAACTAAACTACCCATACAAATTAAATCCCTAATTTCTAAAATAAATCTCCACCTTCCACTTTTCAATCGTGTGAAGTCTTCCTTCCTCTTTGTCGCTGAACCATCCCGTCATTAGAACACTCCTTCTCCTCCTCAAATCTGCCGCCGTCGTCGCAAAGTCCCCCGACGCCGCTGGTCCAGCGCAACTGCAAGTTAACCGCCGACTATGCCTTGTGTGTGGAGGGGCTGTATGGCGACAACCAAAAGCGGCAGGAGCGGTGCGAATCTGACTACGACGCCGTCATCTTCCTAATTAGGTTTTGGTTTCAATTCATTCGCATTCTTCCTCTACCTTTTTCTTCCTTCTTCCTCTGCCTTTTCCCAGATTCTGATCTATTGTTGCCTATTGTGTTTGATCCCACTCCTTCTTCACCTTGGCCATGGAGAAGCACATATACGCGATTAGTGATCTATTTTCTTCCATCCCTCTGTTTTTAGAATATTAGGTGATCTCATTTTGTGATAAAAGTGAACAAATCTGGGTTCTGATTTAACGAGTTTGCACCATCTACTACTGTTCACTCCCATGGTTAAGTGAAGAGACGTGATCTGGCCTTGTTTCATTTCAGTACTTTTCTTGATTGATTCGAATCGAGCCGGATGCATAGCAAGAAGGCAGCGAATTGCTGGGGAGAAAGGGCGGCGGTGATTGCTGCGGAGAAAGAACGACAGGGGAGAAAGGGTCAGGTCGGTTTGAAGGTCGCGTCTAACTAGTTAGAGGGTAAGGTTGGTCCAGATGACGTGGCGGGTCGAGTCACCCTATTTTTGGGTTAAATAGGGTTGACTAGATGATTCTGTTCACCATGTCATCACTTAACGGACACTGTTAACGAAGATGGACGGTGACTAACGGAGAGTGACCAAACATGAACAGTTTATGTAAAGTGAAGTGCCACCAATGGATTTAAATATTTCGAGTGACCAAACATGAATGTTTTTTGTAATCTCAGTGACCAACCATATAATTAGCCCCGATGTTTATTTCCATTCGCTTTGACTTGGTCAAACTAAGTTTTTAACGAATTCACACTCGACCTACACATGCCAATTATAAAAGCAGATAAAACTCACTGTTAATACAAAACTCGTCAGACCGGGTCTGGGTCAAATTGTCATTCTCAACAGAAACAAAAAAAAAAAAAAGAGAAGTAAAATAACATTAAAGTGGGCAAGTCTCTTTCTCGATCCAAAACTCGTGAACACTCTGGTCAACTCGCTTTGATCGGGTCGACCTGAGTGTTTAATAAATGCACACCCTACCCAACCTCTTAACTACAATAACGTATAACACTCGCTCCCGATACAAAACTCGTCAATACCATGGGTTTGAGTTCAATTGTCATTCTCAACAAAAAGAAAAAATAGAGAATTTTAAAAATAATAAAGTCGGGTTAAAGTCGTTTTGACCCCAATATTAACCGTTGTTTTCTTTCAAGCACATGCTTTGGCGGGCTTGTGCAAACTTCAAGCCCATCAACGGCGGATCCAGAACACAAAAGAGCACTGGGCCGTATTTCATTAGAAAATTAGAAGCGTAAAAAAATATAATGATTATAGTTTTTTGCAATGTAAATCGTACACAACTGTATTTCAATTTAGGAATGCATCAATAATGAAGTCTACATCCATACCAATAGTATACACTGTTTCAAATAAAATACTTGAGCAATCGGCGAGAAATTCATCGCTCATTTTGTTGAGCAAATCAGTTCTCACATGTTTCATTGTTAAAAAGGTTCTCTTCGTAGTAGCTGTTGAAATGAGAAGCATCAACACTAGATAAATCAATCGACTAATCAATTTACATTGTGTGTCCATCCCTGCACGGCTGCACACCAGCTGCCTTAGTAAATTTGTAAGGGAACAAACCTCATATTTCTTTTAGTCTTTTACGTTTTTAACTTTTTAGAATTTTAGGTTTCATTGTTTTTTTTAAGACGCATATTCTTTGAGGCTAAATTTAGAATAGTGATTTGAATATGTTCAACTTGATAATTTTTCTAGTTAAACCCAATCTTATCATAGAATAACACTGAATTGAATGTCTAAAATCAAAAATTTCATAAGGACTATATTAACTACGGATCCAGAGGAGGGCTGGGCCGGGGCCTGGGGTGGCCACCCCCTGGATCCGCCAGTGAAGCCCATGAGTCTGCTTTCTTTTGAGGGACATGTAAGATTCAACATAACATTCTCCCAACAACTCGAGTTATTGAAATCAACTAGCTCATGACAAAATAAATACGCAGAGAATTTGATGGGATGCAAAACAAATTACATTTGGCGGGAAATTGGGATGCGAGAGGGACCGAGGCCGGCCGCCTTTCGATTTCGCAGAAATCCTGCTACGTTTCCCCCTAAATAAGCTGCTGCTGCTGCCGCTGCCGCTGCTGCATGCTGTTGAATACAGAATCGTTGACCCATAAAATTAAAACCATCATCATCGAAATCTACTCGTATCCAGCTGTTTAAGTTTCGAAAAAATATTGACCAACCAAACAGTAAAACACAGACTTTTTTTTCTCCTTCTATTTACTTTGATCCGTTAGCCGAAACAGAAATTACTAATGGGAATGGAAAAAAAGAGGCCCCCAACCACAAGTACACGTGGCGGCTCTTGGTTCCATGGGAGGAGAAGAAACGATGGCTCCCGGTCCTCACCCAGCTCACCACGTGTCCACCGTAGTACACGTGGCGGAGACCCAGTGAATCTCCGAATCCTTCGTCTCCTTTTCCTATCCCCTTTTTCTTTTGGTATGAATTTTCGATACACCCCCTCTGTGCCATCAGCAGCACGTTCTCAAATTCACAGAATTTCATAAAAAGGGCAACACACTCAATTCCACGCACGCAGACAGAAATCAAGAAACCCAAAAACAGAAAAGAGATTTTAGAGAGAGAGAGAGAGAGAGAGGAACCGCCCTTTCCTTCCTTCCTTGTTGGGCATTTTTTGTGTCTATGTAATGCATAATGATATTCTGAGGAACATAAACAATACCACCCACCAAGGCCAGAGCAATAATTCTCTACTTGTTTTCAATTCGCTTCTTCATTCGTCTCCTCCCTCTGCTTCAAACTTAGCGGACACTGGGAGTTTACGGGGCAAAAGAAAGAAAGAAAGAAAGAAAGCAGGAGCAGGTAATTTGATTATCTTCGCTTCTTGAGTTGTATGATAATTTCACTCCATTTCTTGGATTGATAATTCTGACGGTGATTCCGTCCGTCGTAAAATTCTGTTTTAATATTGGTTTGCGTGTATTTGTTCTTCTGGAACGCCGAGGAGTCCTTCGTCAGCCCGGTTTCTTTGGGTTGTTCCGATTTATATAACAAATATTATTATGTATTTTGATAATTATTGATTTCCTTTTCGTATTCGGGAATTAAATTTTTTTTTTCCACTGATGGGGATAAATAACGACTCTGTTTTCCTGATAATGACTCTGTTTTCCTTTTCGCCCCCTCCCTATTCTCGTTCTTGTTGTTTACAGCGACGAGCGATCGAGAATTCAATCGACAATACGGTCGCCATGAGGAGAACACACTCGACGAAGCTCTGCTGTAGCCATTGCGGTTGCTGCTGCTGAAAATCGAGGCAGGGAAGAAGAAGAAGAAGAAGAAGAAGAAGAAGAAGAATGGAGTTTGCTTACCAGCCATACATTGATCCCGATTTCGAATCACTCATCGAAAGAATCTACCCTCCCAGGCACAGTTTCTTTTCTCCCAACTGACTATTGGGGTCGATTCGACCATGTCAAATTGGATTATGATTGACTGTTGGTCTACTTTTTTTTTTTGGATTTGCAGGGTTTGCATCGACAACGACACATACCCAGATTGCACGCTTGTTAAGGTACGTGATAACAAATATTATTATATGATAAGGGCAGAATTCAGCTCTCTGTCACGGTTTCTAGGGTTTTATTATTACAGTTAGTTGTTCGTTTTTCTCTTTAAATTAACTATTATAATTAGGGTTTTAACTAGCATAGAGAAGGAGGAAGTGGGTGGTTTGAGTGCGGTAGGAATGTGGAGGAAACACACAATTTTGCATAATATGCAGCATGTGTCACCTGAAACCCACTGCTTGTTCGTCGGATATGATTAATTAGGTTAGATTACTAGTTAATGAGATCACACCACCACCAGTAAGCATTAATCTTAATTGATTAATCAATCAAACTATAAGCGATGATTAGTTTTTTTTCCCTAGTTCCTGATGATTCCAACGCAATGCATCCTATCCCAAATTCTCCAATTGCCTGCCACTTGGGGTTGGTTATTGTCTTCATTTAACTAGAGTTTAAAACATGCACCCTAGGTAACTAGCTACTCTAGTATATATGCAAATCCGGAGTAGGTCGCGGTGGAGTTGAGCGGTTTTCTGGATACGCCATTGTAGATAGTCAGATAGGTAAGTTAGGACTCTCTTTAAGATTCGATTACGAACATATATTGGAAAATAAAAACATACAAGTTATGTTATTTTTTCCTCTTAAATTATACTATAAATTGATCCGTACTTTCGATAGATAGGTACAAGGTAACTTACCTACCTTGAGGGATGGGGACCAGAACATACTTGGATGACGCAATCTAGTTGCAAACTATGATATGCTCTTTCCCTTTCCCTCTCGATTTTCCATCACACCAAGACGTGGAAAGCAACAACAACAAAAAAAACCCAGCAATAAGAAAACTGAAAAAGTGAAAGGGGAAAGGAAAAGGGAAAAGGAGAGGCTGGGATTTTATTTGTTTTTTCAATAATAATAGTAAAAGTCCATCTTTGGAATTACAAAGGGTTCATGAGAGTAAGCATCCAGTTTGTTATTGAGCTAGGCGCATGCACTTCCTGAATAGTGTTCTGAATGGGATTTGAGTAACCTATTCCACCTGACGCACAGATATATAGTTGTTCTTCTTCCGAATTAACTTTTTCCTCCTCGTTGCTTTTAATCAGAGGAGAAAAGGGAGGGTTACCATTTGTTTTCATTATGTGTTGCTTGCAATTAGCAGGTTGATAGTGCAAACAAGCATGGGATTCTGCTGGAGCTGGTTCAAGTTTTGACAGATCTCGACCTTGTCATCTCCAAGTCGTACATTTCTTCCGACGGCGGATGGTTCATGGACGGTCAGTCAGTCTCCTCTTTTTCTGTCTAAAAGAATACGATTCCTTCCACACCAACTTTAAATGCATGTACTAATAGGATTAGGATCCCAAAGTAATACTTACTTTCCAATCGATTCCTTAGCTTCATGAAAGTAAGTCGTCATCCATGTGGGTTTCTTTCTTATCTTCAATTTCCCTTGCAGTCTTCCACGTGACCGATCAGCTTGGGAATAAACTCACCGACGAAACCCTCATTCTCTACATACAACAGGTCTCTCCTACCACCTCTGCCTCTTCCTTTTTACATGAAAATGTGTAAAAAGCAAAACAGACAAAAAGACAAATTTTTACAGGCGATTTGTGCTAGTAGGAGGGTCCCGAACCAAACCGGTTCGACCATCAAGGGGCAGGTCCGACCCAGCCACGTCTCCTCCACCGACCACACCGCCCTCGAAATCACCGGCATCGACCGCCCGGGCCTGCTGTCCGAGATCTCGGCCGTGCTCGCCCAGCTGGAGTGCCACGTCACTGCGGCCGTGGCCTGGACCCACAGCGGGCGGGCCGCCGTGATCATCTACGTGGAGGAGAGCCGCGGCGGGCCCATCGTGGACTCGGGGAGGCTGGCCCACGTCCAGGAGCAGCTGGACACGGTGGTGGAGGCCCACCACGGGACCGGGGAGAGGAGGAGCGTCAGGCTCACGGACCCCAAGCTGGGCCGGACCCACACCGAGAGGCGGCTCCACCAGCTGCTCTATGCCGACCTGGACTACACGCGCTGCCAGGGCTGCAACGACGCGGGAGGAGATTCGGGGTCCGTTCATCGCCAGGACTGTGCCAAGATCCACGTCACCATCGAGCCGTGCGAGGAGAAAGGCTACTCCATCGTCAATTTGAGGAGCGCCGATCGGCCCAAGCTGTTGTTCGACACGGTTTGTGCCCTGACGGACATGGAGTACGTCGTGTTCCACGCCGCGGTCAGCTCCCTAGGAACGTTGGCCGATCAGGTAATGAATGCAATTGCACTAAAGAAGCAGAGGAAGTAAATGATCGATTAGGAGAATGTTTAGGTAATGTGGGGGGTTTTGGTGGTTGCAGGAGTATTTCATAAGGCAGAAGGACGGGTGCACGTTGGAGAAGGAGAGCGAGAGGCATAAGCTGAGCCAATGCTTGATCGCTGCAATTGAACGGAGAGATTGCGATGTAAGACCGCGAAGAAAATTTGCTCCGTTATGTTTGGTTTCGTTTGGACTGAGGTAGTGAATGAAGACATGTTGTTTGGGTTTGTGTGTCTGTTTTTTTGCGGGGGATGGTGTAGGGATTGAGGCTGGACGTATGCACGATGAACAGAATGGGGCTGCTGTCGGATGTGACGAGGGCGTTCAGGGAGAACGGGCTGTCGATATCGAGAGCGGAGGTCGGGAGGCATGGGGAGATGGCCATCGGGTCGTTCTACGTGACCGAGGCTTCCTCGGGAGGGAGCTACGTGAGCCCGGAGACGGTGGAGCAGGTGAGGAAAGAGCTCGGGGAGTCGATCGTCGTCGTCGACAAGTTACCTTGCTGGAATGGTGAGTTGAAGCCAACTGCAGCATCAAAGTCCTCAACCCGTCGTCATGATGGCAGTGCTGGTGATGAGAAGCCGCGCTTCTCTTTGGGGACCTTGTTTTGGGCACACTTGGGTTGGCTTTCCAGTAACTTTGGGTCGTCCATTCGGTCATGAGGAAAGGATGTTTCAGGCTATCGCTGAAGTCGTGTTCTGTAAATATTCAGCAAATAGTTCTTTCTTGTTCCTTCTCTTGTTTTGTATATAAAGCAAGTGCTAGTTTTCCATTTCCTCAGTGCTGCTCATGAATGATGCATGATACCGATAGAGAGAGACCCGCCGCCGTTTCGCCCAGTTGAATCCATATCCTCGACAAATTGATCTTCGATACAGTTTCACAATCATCAGAGGGAGGTTTTATTGACACGCAGAAGTAGGAAAACTAGCAACAAAAGAGAGGAAAACGCAGAGGAAATATGGGATTGGCTCCAAAGTGAGGAATTTTCGGCTACATGGCAAGCAACTGAAATGATATGACTGAGAAAATGAAATGGAAAACAATTACATTGAATGGGAAAAGAAATTATTACACAGCACAGATACACATATCATGAGCACCATAACATCCGATTTCAGGTTCAGCTATATGTACACGCGTAGAGAGTTCCCTTCAGCCTGACTCAGACTGAAGAGAGAGGACACCATATGCAGGACATAAGATATTCACAGCAGCAGAAAAGGGGGGAAAGAAAAGGATTGCAGAAAACGCTCACCTTACTTGAGGCTTAACCCTCGTTCATCAAATCACTACGATGTTCTCAAACATCTAGCCAACCATTAGCTCCACTGTTCTCAGATGGTTGGGAAATTGCCTGTCCGCCGCTACCACCTTTTGCATTTATAGGATTAATGTCCTTCACCGAGTCACCTCAACTTCTGCTCAGCTCAACCCAGTCCCGTGAATCTTTGGCTGAACCATCTGAGGTTGTTACTTTTTATAGGTTATAGGCACTTCCCCTTCATCGTCATCTTCCAGATCACTAAATGACACATCCTCGTCATCTTCAATATGTTTCATAGTCCCACTGGCACCACCACCACCACCACCAACCATTTCAGAACTTTCGTCTTTCAACCAGTCGTCACCATCATCCTCGTATTTATCATTTGCAGCATGAGAATATGAGCTCGAAGCAGATGGGTTCAACTGTTGCTTATTATTCTGGAGAGGAACTATTTCTTCCTCGACAACAGCTTTGTCGACTATTTCCACTTCGGTACTTTGGACTGGGTGCTTCTCTTTTTCTGCTTCACCACCTATAGCAGCACTGTATGGCACTGCTGTAACTGGAGCATCCTTGGAACCAGATTCGTTTTGAGACGGCACTGAAAGATAAGCTTCCTGGGATGAATCACCACCATCTTCTTTGGATACTACTGAAGCATCAGGTTCTGAGAAACCTGAACTGGGCTTTGTCTTTGCTCTCCTCTGTAGTTCTTGAGATAACATTGCCCTAGCTTCCATTATCTACAGGTAAATAATGCAAAAGTAAGTGGCAGGGAATCGAAAAGACTAAATCATTTGATTAGCCCCAGTTCAATTAACCACGAGCCTAAGTTTGCTTAATCCAAATCGAGAATCCACAGCCATGTTTCAAGATGCCAGCTGATGGTTTGAAGTGAGAAAGGGAGCATACCTGTGGAGTAGACAGCAGTAAAGCATCTTCTTTACTAAGTCTAGGGTGCAGAAGGACGAAGTAAATTTTCCAAAAGCAGTCCTCGCTCATATAACCAGGACAGAGTTCAATCCTAAGAGCAGCTAACCTTGGGGCAAGGCGCTCAACAGTTTGGGCATGCTCCTGTTGGGCATCTGACAGGTCAAAATCTACAAAGGAAAAAGACGGTGCATTTGGCATCAGGAAGTCGCAAATATAGATAGACATCAAGACTGTAAATGTATTCTACATACAGCCCTTCAATCATGGATGGAGCCGAAGAGAATTCGTAATGTCAAACCACAGTTTATCAGGGTGAATCAAGCAAGAACAAATGTCCAAACCCCAGATACGAATGCATACACAATCTCCAGATAATTTCCAGCACGTTTATCTGTGTATATATATGCACATTCCATTGATTATGACTATACAAAAGAAGTAACACACAGTTATAAAGAAGCCAGCAACACCATCTGAAGCCCAGACTGCTACATATACCCTTTAGCCATATGCTTGAGCTACTGGATTCCCCAACTAGACTGCGTACCATTACTAGACAACTTACGTCCTACCAGGAAACTCTGCAACTAGACTCACCTGCAACTAGACCATACTTTGCTACGAGCTCAAACCACCTAGAAACTCTGGCAGCATCGCAGCCTTCGAATACTAACAAAACCATATCCGCATCAAACACTTCTCAAAACCTATAAACATAATGCTGGAAGGTATAACAATTTACCCTCAAAATCGTCATCTTCTGGAAGGGGAAAGTCAAGCCAAGTCTCCGGATGCATAGAAACATCCCTAGCGAAGGCCACAGCCTCCTCGGTCACACCGACGGCGCTACCAATCAAGTCCGCATCGTTCACATCTCCCTCCGAAGCGAATTGCAGGAAATTCGAGGCGATCTTTGTGATCTCCGAGACCGCCATATTAGTCGATAGCTTGGAGATGCCGGACTTGAATCTCCCACCGATTTCAGCGAAATCACTCCGTATTCCTTCAATCAGATCTTCATTAGTCTCGTCCGGATCCAAAAGCTGCCGATAATCGGGTTCCTCGATCGAATCATCGGAGATCTGGCCGCGGGCGGGAGGGCTAGGAGATTCGGGTGGGGGAGCGAGGAACGAGGCGACCCCCCAGAACTGGCGACTTAGGGTCTTGGTGATCTCGGAGATGTCTTCCTTGACGCCGCGGGGAGTTGTGGAACTGATTGTTGACGACGGCGAATGTTCATCAGACTCAGCGGTTGGAGAAGATTTCGGGTCCTTTGCACCAGATTCGCCGGCGCTAAGGTTATGATGATCTTCACTCCCGTCGGCATCATCGTCGTCGAGCTTGAGAGTGTTGGCGATAGACCTCGCTAACCAGGACATTTTCTCGGCTCGTGATGCAAGTAAACTCAACAAGTTGCAGGAACCGGAAGTCTTTCTATTAACAACAGCAATGAAAAGTTATGGACCCACCCGCTATAACGAGCCAGGTTACAGGTTGGCAGAAACTCAACTGAGCCCATTATATTGGGCCAAAAACAATTTCGCGGGGTTGTCAGATTCACAACCAAAGCATTTTGGGTATATAAAAAAAAAGAATATATTAATTATTTTTTTATGTATTAATTACATTGGGAATTAAAAATTCATATTAATACAAGTTTTTTTAATTTAAATTCTATACATTTATATCTCTTTAGATCTCTCTTTCTTTTTCCAACAGTCAATCCGCATCGACCGCTGGTGAAATCCTTTCGGCAGACTTCCTCCAACGAAATTTTTGACTTTCTCTAGCAACATGAAAAAATGTACCAATACGTTAAAAAGTGTACCAGTTCATTATTCTCCTAGTATTGATTTTTTCTAGTGGTACGCTATCAGTACAATGTTACAACTATCATCTGGTATCGTACCACTAGCACTAGTAGCGCTACCAGTAGAGAGTAACACAAAAAACCATATGGTAGTGGTACAAGATGATAGTGGTATGCTACCACTATCACTGGTATGCTACTAGAAGAAAAATGGTACCACTAGTCGGAAAAAACAGATCTAGAAAAGGGGGGTCACTGGTTAGTCGGAAAAAACAGATCTAGAAAAGGAGAGTCACTGGTACGTACCGGTGAGTAGTGATAGCGTACCAGTAGCTCTACCAGTGGTAGTGGTACCCTACCAGTGCTCACTGGTACATACCAGTAGAGACTAACACAAAAAACCAGATCTGGAATTCTGAAAAATCACAGATGTGGAAAAAAATAGGGAGGCAGGGAAGAGTCATTGACCTCGCGGCGGCGGCGTAAAAATGGCGGCTAGGGCAGCGTGGCACGATGACGAGCGTAGGGGCGGCAGGGGCAACGTATCGCGGCAGGAGCGATAGGGACAGTGGGTGCGACAGAGCGGCAGGGACAGCCGGCGCGGCGGAGATCAGGGGCGGCGGTGGGCATGGGAGAGGAAGAGGGAGATGCAGTGGCGGCATCGTCCGCGGAAGAGAGGGAAGAAGGGAAGAAGGAGGTGAACGACTGTGAAGTTGGTATGAGTTAGATTAGCGTTTTATTATTTTATATGGGAGGGAGAATGATTGGGTGTGGTAAGTTTTTTTCATCTAAAAAACACCCTTCTTTTCATCTCAACCTTCAATTTAAAAATGACAGGAGAGAGAATACATCTAATGGCCGCTATAAAGTGGGTTGTCAAATTCACAACCCCCTTAGGGGGTTGTCACCATATCTCGTCCCAAATTTAGCTTCTTCATTTAGAGAGAGAAAGAGAAGGTACTCAGTGGAGGGAGAGCGAAAAGTGAGGCTGTCAACACGGCGGAGCAGCACCGTCTGATCAAAGGTCTTTTGATAACTTAGGAACCTCAACCCCACACGTGACAGACACATGTACAAGACACAACATCGGGCACTTCGTCCCCGACATTCAGGCATGCCTCCGGGAACACACAAACGACGCTGCTAGGATCGAACTCAGGACCTCATACATTCTGAGCCAACCAGACCAACTGTTTCACCGTTAGGCTATATCACCTTTTGCGATCAAAGGTCTGAAATCACGATGGAGAAGAAATAACAGGACGAAGGAAATGAGAATAGGTTGACTGATTGATCGCATTTTGATTTAATGTAAATTTCGTTGTTTTTTATCCACTCACCTTATTGAAAATGATTTTTGTGATGACAATCCAAGCATTGTTAGCATCCTATCAAGTCAGCCCCTAAAATCCACCTCATTTGGCACCCGATCACCGGAACAAATTCAATGGATCCCGCGTCCCAACCGATAATCACAAAATGTTTATACTTAATCTAAGAACGATTAAGTAATGGTGTAAAATGCTGCAATTATTCAAAACCATTACAAAGGAGAGAATAAAGAACTATATATGTTTCCGTCAAAGCAAACTATTAGCAGCGTTTTCTGCCACCGCAACCTCCATCATATTTCAACGGAGATGCAAGTAACTTAAAAGTAGCTATGTATGCGCCCAACCGGAAACCAGTCAGTCAAGTTCCCCCTGCTGGGCTCAACAGCTGCGGAAACCAACACTGCTGAGAAGTCGGCGACGACGACAGCAGATTCAGCTCCAGCGACGTTATCGCACTATCCGGCGCCGTAACACTATTTCTATAAAAATAATCGTTTTTATTACTATCCTCCTCCACGTAGGACGATGACATCATCGTCATATTCATGCCGTGTGATTTCACCGCACCACTTTCCGCCATCATCCACTCCCGAAACAGCCCCGAAAACGGCGACCCTTCCTCGCCGCCGCTCTTAGTCGGAGGAAGAAGCTGCTGCAGCGGCGGCCTCTCCAGCAGATCGAGCTTCGGCGGCGCCAAGTTCTGAATCCTCCCTTGCTGGGCGGCGGCTCCGGTGAGGCTCTGGACGAGGTCCCTGAAGTTGATTGGGTCGACTTTGTAGACTGTGGGAGCTGGGTTGGGCGGCAGCGGAGCAACGTATGGCTTCCTGTTGGGCTTGTTGTTGGTGTTGTTCCGAATCGAATGGAGAGATGAATGGAACGGCTTCCGGTGAGCCTTGCTGATGTGGAGCTGATGATGATGATGATCCTCTGAGGTAGCGTTGTTGGTGGCGGCGGCGGCCAGGTACATTGATGACGTGGAAGATGAGGAAGACGAGTAGGCTTCCATGAGTAGTACTAGTACTATTTGGAGGTGAAGAAGAGGGGGAATGTGTGATAACAAAGTAAATATGTGTATATATAGAAGAAGGGGGAGGTGCATGTACGGGAAAGGAAGGGTGTGGGAAATTTTCCAGACGTCTAATGTTATTTACTTATTTTAGATTACCTATCACGGGCAATTCTGTAGTGCCGCCACTGCATTGATACAGTCCATTTTCTACCGGCTACACCCGGTCTTCGGCTTTCCCCGTTAATGGGCTGGGCCCTACCTCTACGGGAACAAAGAAAAAGTGTGTGCAATTTTTATATTTTAAAATAATGTTAAATACTCTATACGAAGGTCATGTAATATGTTGTACTTTTGTTCCATTACTTTTTTTACAATTTAGACCCTGTAATAAAACAAAAAGAAATACAGATTTCGGTTGGTAACCTAAAAAATACATATGAGTAATTTTTAGTATATTTTTTTGTTAATTATAGGTACTTAGTTGTAAATAGCCACTCGAAAATTAGAGTTGTAAACGCAACCTATTTATATCGTTGTATGATGTACTGGAAGATTAACGAAATAAGAAAACCTAAAACATAAAAGGGAGATCCTCTCCGTGGACTAGTGTCATACTGACGATACCACGATAAAAAATGCTCTCGTGTTCTTCACTTTCAGTTTGATCTTTTGACAATATTTACCGTGCGTGTATTTAATTTTTTTTTGTTATCATCTTTTGACAATGCTAGAAATTCGAACTAAAGTTGTAAATTCAAACCATTTGAACAGTGATAATTGGAGATGAGATAATATCTTATGAATTACTCTATTTCTCAAACAATTTACATCTAGTTTACCTACATTCATAACCCACTTTCACTAACGTGGCTTCATCGTTGCTAGGGATGACAATCAAACCCGCAACCATGGATAACTGACCAACTCGACCCAATCAATGAAGGGAATCCCCGCATTGACTAGGTATGGGGGAGTAGTGGTAAAACCGCAAAAGGTTTGAAGTGGATAGGGTGATATGCTTTTAGACTCCCCCAATTTTATTCAGATACTTGTGGGTAATACCTACTTCGCTGCTCGTACATCCAACATTACTATCTAAAATTTATGATATAGATATTTAATTATAACACTAAACGGATCTAGTAAACCATGAAATTAACAAATATACTATTTAATTATAAATTTAACACATTTAATTCTAAAATATTCATAAACCATAAGAAAAAGTATAATGTTATCCAAATCAACTAGGGAGTTATTTTGTGACAACACCCCCTGCCATTAAGGGAATCAACTAAAAACTGGACATCTTTACCAAACTCAAAACCTAATAAAGGAGCCAAGAAAATATAATAGAGCAAGCTAAATTGTAGAATTCCACTTCGTCACTGGTGCGAAGTACAATCAAATTATGCTGAACTTTCATTACCACTTCATGGACACTTGGAATAAATAACTCTAATTTTTTAAAAGGGAGAAATAAGTAAATGACTGAAAGAAGAATTGGAGGGAGATAAATTATTGTTTGATTTGGGTGACCATTCAATTACATTTCAATATTTTTTTGAATTACTCTTCTTTTTATTGAGATGTTACATTTGATTTATCTATTTTTTATGTATAAAAGTACTCTTGGTGGGTTGGGTATGAGTATGAATATGTGCAGGGAGTCTAAAACCATACAACCTCATACCTATCAAAGTTTTTGTGTGTTTTAACCATACTCGTCTCATACTCAGTTAAATGTGGATTCTCTACATTAACGGGTTGGGGATGATCAGATACCCGTGGTTGCGGGTTGATTTTCATCCCTAACAACGATGGAGCCACGTTAATGATAGGGAGAGATAAATATAGGTAAAAATACATCTAAATTTTGTATTTTTTAAATAGAGTAATTATTAAAATATTAGTCAATCTCCAATTATCACAATTCAAATCTCTTGATTTATATTTTTAGCAATTCAATTCAAATTTCTAGCACCACCATTTGATAATATAAACTTAAATTTTTTTAGTTAAATAAAGTTTTTTTTAATACTCTGTATATATATTTTAAAACCGAATCATATTTACTTTGGTTTCCAACAAAAATTCTGCCATGTGTTTTTTTTTCTAGGGAATGAAAACAAATATTACATGACTTTGTGTAAAGTTACGGGAAAAACTGAAAATTATATATATATTTTTTTGTTCTCGGAGCCAAGTAACGGAGTTTCAAAAAAAAAAAAAAAAAGTAGCCCAGTAACGGAGAAAGGCGAAGACCGGCTGTAGCCAGTAAAAAAGGGACAGTATCAATACAGTGGCGGCACTAAAGAATTTTCGACCTATCACACCCAACAATTCGAATATCATATACAAATCGGTTTAGCCTCTTGTTTCGAAACCTCATTCCTTGAGAATCATGTCGTCCAATCCCCCTTCCTCCTCTAATAATCGGACAATGGTGACGAATCGACGAGCCTTCGGCCTTCTCCTTCACAGGCTGAATGTGTGTTTACAAAATCAACAATCATTCCAGGCCCCAACTGCCAGCTGCATCCATTGCGAAGCCGCGTCATTGAGTCGCATGCCACAACGATTACAATTGTTCAGTCTCGTCGTACAACGGTACAGTGAGTGTATTCTATAATTTTGTGTAATAAGATATATTGGAAAAGATTTGTTGAGCATCACAGATAGTGAGTGTATTTTACAAAATTTTAAAATATGAAAACACATCAAATTTTTTTTTGGTGTAAGTTGTACTAGTTGAATATTTTCTCATTTATGAATGTTTACTTTCAATAATGAATCTAATTGGGTCCTCTACGAATTAAAATGTTTCAACAAAAAAAAAATTATTGTAATGAAAAGTTTATGATTTTGGATAAATACAAATGTGGTCAGCGTGTATTTGCCTTGGATTGGAAGTCGAGGGCCCGGCTAGGTGCTTGAAGCTGACAGAAGCGAGATTTCGGTCAAGTGTTGAAACTTTGACCGGATATATTGATGTAGTAAAATAATGCTTCGCTTGTATGATGAAATTCCCCTTTACTTTAGTTATTATTTATCAGCTCTGTGATGCAACATTTTTCATATTGTCTTGGAGAGCCGTCAATAATTATTTATTTTATTGTTGCGAACACAGCCAGCCAGCCAGCCAGCCAGCCATTAGAGAACGGAATTCCAAAGTTTTCAAACTTTTGTGACGGTGCTGGGTGGTAAGCGGCCGCCTCTCCTTTACAACTTGGGTCTATTATTACAACAACAATAATTGTTAGTACGACCCAACCATCGACTATATAATTGCCACAATTAATCAATGACTAACATTTTCTCTCCTCATTAGATCTGAATTCTGAAACTGATAAATTCAGTCATGTAATGCCTTCAATTGTTCAAGTGATAAGTTGACCCAACAACGAGTTATCGCTGTGAATTGTATATACTTTTTTATTCAATCCACCAAATATAACACCATCTCTACGGGTTCTTAAAATATTCGACCCATCAATCAACACTAATGCCAATCACCACTCTAATGAGATGAACAATTTAAACCGTCTTGTTGGGTACTATTCGGCTTGGTTCGCGATGAGGCGGGTATTACCCAACTCAGATTAGCGTGGAACGTAACATGGGGTATTTACTTTCAATCCGCTTTGCCTCATCCCGTTCTATTGTTGGTCTATTATATCTCAATTTCTTACAATATCTATTCATAATATCTCCTATTTTGACTTTTCTTCAAATAGTTAGACTGAATTATCCATTATATTATCACTATTTTTCATTCATAATGTGTTCTCCCATCGTTTTATCATAAAGGTAAAATTTTGAGTGTATTTTTTGCAAATAACATGTAAAAGTGGGTAAGCCCACCCCGCTCCATTCCCACATGGTTATTGAGGTACCCACCCTGCACCATTGCCATCAAGCCAAAACAGAGTACATTGGAACTAGATGAAAACAAGGGGAACTGAGGAACATACCCCCAACAAATTTTTTATAAGAGTTATATTAATTTATTAATTATAAATAAAAATTACATATAACACTGAACTAACTATATAGGCGGTAACAAAAGCAAGAGCTTTGGACCAAACCAAGACAGGAAGCAGCCTAAGTAAACATGTAAAAAAAAAAACCTTCCAACAATCGTAGACAAGGAGAGGCCATCTGTAACATCCCTAACCTTTTGCCAACAAGATACTGTCCGCTTTAGGTCTCTACACCCGCACGGATTTCGACTTGGGGTGCAATTCAAGGTGACTGACTTCCCATAAGGTCACCCATCCTTGTTGTACTCCACACTGAGCACGTTTAACTTCGGAGTTCTCACAAGAACTCTTCCATTACACCCCAAAACGCGTCTTGTCAGTTAAGGCCGGTTTCCTACTTTGAACCATGGATCTCTCCCGTGCTTTGTCGATGTGGGATTTGCCTAAGATGTTACATACACCCCCCTTGGGACTCAACGCCGTCGTTGAGGTTTGCCCCACCATCGTTCAAGAGGGACGCAGAGAGGCTCTGATACCACATGTAACATCCCGAACCTTTTCCCGACAAGATACTGTCCGCTTTGGGCCTCTACACCCGCACAGATTTCGACTTGGGGTGCAATTCAAGGTGACTTCCCATAAGGTCACCCATCCTTGTTGTACTCCACACTGAGCACGTTTAACTTCGGAGTTCTCACAAGAACTCTTCCATTACACCCCAAAACGCGTCTTGTCAATTAAGGCCGGTTTCCTACTTATGAACCATGGATCTCTCCCGTACTTTGTCGATGTGGGATTTGCCTAAGGTGTTACACCATCCACCTAAGAAAAAAAAAACAAAAAAGAATCAACACAGTTAGATGCTGCTACAAAATGGAAGACAATACACTGCAAGTAGCAAGCCAACTCAAGCCACCAACAGAACAACAACCAATCAAACCTCCATAATATGTCTTCGCCCATGAACTCAGCGGGAGCCTTGTATGCTACCTTGTCCAATCTTAGTTAAATCCTTAAAACCATTCAAACTTAAAAAAGAAAACAAACAATGTCACCACCAACTTCGCACTGGCGACTCTTCATAAAGCAACGAACAAGGTAGTTGCTGCACCGCACACACAAAAAAAAAAAAAAACAAACATCTAAACATTCAAATGTCTTGTTGACTTGGCTCACTCCATCACACTCATTCAGCTCATGCTTAAAGCTCACTTCATCAGCCCAAAAAGGGTCGTCCTTCACCTTGTCTCACTTGCTCCAAAAGTAGAAAGAAGAAAACATATTGCTTGTTTTCAAGCTCTTCGACAACACCTTTACAAGCACGAAGACAACAACCTTTTTCTCTCCCTCCAAGTTCCCTTTCCACTCCTCGAGAGAAACTTCACCATCACCATCTTCAATTCCTTCAACTGTCATCTCTCTGAATCTCTATTTAAACAATGCAAAGCCTTCCTTGGAAGGTCGATGGTTCTACAATAAAAAGAGGAGTTATTTTGGGTTGTTGATGTGTCCAAGTTCTTTTAGGTTCATAAAGTAGCTTGGGCATAGTAAGTATGATCTGGATAGCCCGGTGAGTTATAGTCATCGTTTTCTGGGTAACCAAGTATTGTGAGGGGTTCTAGAGTCCTTTATGTGTTCTTCATCTTTTCTTTATTTTTAAAAGCAATTTGATTATGAGGAATGAGGTACTTCTATCCAAATCCTTATTAGTATTTTCAGTATCTCTTTCATCCTTTGTTTTTCAATTCAAAAGTCTTCAAAGCCCCATCCTTTGATTCTACATGTTTGAGGCAGAATATTCCCCTCCCCTAAACTCTACATCCCCAATCAGATTGCTCTTAAGTTAGTATAATGGCAGATGGGAACAAACTCTTATGCAACACGTTTATCCACCACAATAGTATTTCTCTCAACCTTACTTGCTGCTATAAGCCAATTGCTAATCAGACTTCCTATTTTATGACATATCATTCTGGACCGGTGTTCCTTTCCTTCAAATATATTTTATTTATTTATTTCCTTCCATATCTTTCAACATAAGGCATGCATGAAGACCTTCAAACACCAATCTGTCGGGCTGGTAGGATGATGTGGTGGCCCTCCATCATTACTCTCGATCAAGGTTGTCAACCCGTGGATTGACCCGGACCCAGTTGAGCTAGTGGGTCAAGGGTTAATGGGTCACCCGTTTTAGCCCGGAAATATGGAAAACATCATTATATTGTACTTATCCTGATAAATTATATCAAATCTCATCTAACATATGAGTTATAACATATAATATTACACCAAAATAACATTTCGTACTTAGATTCAACATATAATGAAAATTCACACACACTTATATAACATTAATATTCAAACGTTCAATTTAGGATTCCAAAGATTGAGTTAGGCGAAAAGAAAAATCGGAAAATAGGCGCATTTCGCAAAACAAAGAAAAAAATGACACAATTTGACCTCCAACCCGGTACCTTGTAGCGGTCGACCCGGCGGGTGCGTGCGACCCGTTTTTTTCCACCGAGTCAGGGTCAAAGTGGGTCAACCCACGGGTCGACCCGCGGGTTGACAACCTTGCTCTCGATATATATGTTGATGTGTGC